ATCAGGTACTGAAAATTGTAATTAAAAATAGGAAAATTTGCGCTGGGTACTATATACCCTTTGTTAGTTTTCTAGAGTTAAGAAGCTACACACTCAGTGCCCAGAATTCATTAACACTAGCTCCAATATAGCTTCAGATTCTGGGGGTCAAATTTTCCGTTAACTGGTAAAACAATATCTGTCTATATTTCTGAGATGGGGTACTGCAACTATTTTCACTATTTACATCGTTCGGACTGTTGTCCTCATGTTTATGGCCGTATTCCCAATGTTCCGACGGGCATTTTTCAGGATCTGTCTATATTTCTGAGATGATGTATTGTAACTATTTACACTATTTACATCGTTCGAACTGCAAAGGAATTAACTGAAAGTGATATATCAAAAAAGTCATGGCACATGGAATTAGAACAATCTACCCCGGTGGACTAAATAAAGGGTTCGAATCGAAATTCCAACGTATATCACCTGAAGAAGGTCAGAGCGTAAAACGGTCGAAACATTGTTAATACCTCAATAAAGACAAGGACAACGTAAATAGTGTAATGCCTCATCTTAGGAATAAAGACATGTCCTGAAGAAGGCCGGGGCGTACAACGATCGAAACGCCGTGAATATGATAATAAAGATGAGGATAACAGTCCGAACGATGTAAATAGTATAAACACTTCTTAAATCTTTAACTTGATTCTTACGTCTCTATTTCGTAACTCACATTTTGAAGTGTCCCTCTTTCCTTTCCCTTCCTTTTTCCCCCTTACATTTTCTCCTGTAGTTTTTTTTTTTTTTGTTTTCTATGTGTGTCATCAACACAGTGGCGTTAGTCTATCTTGTGTTATTATCACTGTTATTTCTGTAGTGGTTTCGATCCTTACTCAGCTTTCTACACATTTTATCTTGTACCATATTAAACTAAACTTAGTGAATATAGTAAATTAAATATACAGGTTTTATGATTGCAAAAATGTTTTATCTAGGATAGGTGTGTCTGTCGGTTATGGAAGGTGAGGCAGTTTAATTCCAAGAATGACTGCAACGTGTTCTTGGTGTAAACAGTCAGGCAAACATTAGTAATGAGTCAACAAACAGTCGAACACTTCCGGGTATGTTTCAAATACTTTTTTTTTCCATGAAACGCAGACCAGATGAATCATTCATTGTTGAGCAGCAGAGGAAGTTGCACATATTCATGTTATCCCCTTGGTAGAAAATGAATGAAAGGAATCTGTAGTTGTGGATTTTTGTGTTTTGCATGAAGATTGATAAAGGTGATAAAGGAATGTCCGTTCGATTAACATGAATTATGCGAATTAATAGACTTTTTTTAAGATGAACAAGCGTTTCAAAGAAGATTGAGATGTGACTGAGCACACAAGCAGTGGGCAGCCAAAAACACAACTAACGCGTGTGGAATGGGACTGAAGGAAAAGTTTAATGTCGAAGATTAAGTGTGTGTCTGATAACGGAAAAACTGGATATGAATCGAGAAACATACGAATAATTCTAGCGGGGGATTTATGAAAGAGATACATAATGCATTTGAAATTCGCACGTTCGTGGTTAAGAAATGCATCGCAAAAACATGACACCTTCCTTATTCACCAGACCTAGCCCTTGGATTTGGGAGGCTATTTTCAAAGTTGAAGGATGCTTTAAAAGGACAGCTAGCAACATGTGACTACATTATTGAAAGTTATTCTGGAACAAAAGTTCCAAGAATGTTTCCAGCAATGGCACAATCATCTTACAAATTACACTTTCACAATAACCAATAGTGAGCAGGTAAATAAACTTAACTTTCTAGAGTAATTCTGGGAATTGTTGCATCTTGTATTAATCTACTCACTTATTGCTTATTCTGGTCTACGGTGAAATCACACTGAAAACACTTGTTTTCGTTCGATCACCGAAGTTAAGCTGTGTTAAGCACGGTCAATACTTCGGTGGAGTTCCGCTTGATAACACTGGGTACTGTAAGCAAGCTCATATTATACGAACTGTTTCGATTTTAATTGATCCACAGAGGGTTGATAACCCGTGAAAACAAATCAAATCGAATTAACATCGCTCATCCTGTTTTCACTGAGTTTAAATCCATACTACCCGGCCGAGGAAATGAACTCAATGAGCAATGCTTTAATCCACTCGTCAGTACAAGATTATCCCTTGGCATGAACAGCAGAACGAAAACAATCTAATCCCGTAGATTAAATAAAGAGTTCAGTTCGAAATTTCCGAAAGGTCATCCGGATCGACAAGCCCCAATAAAAGGTCAGAGGGCACAATAACCGAAACGGTATGAAAATAACAACAAAGATGAAGATATTATTCTGAATGTAAATAATGTAAAGTTCATATGTTTGGAACAAAGGTACTTATTGTATGTGTTTTTAAAACGAATTTCGAATGTCTTGTCTCATCTTGTTTTTTTTTCTTTTTTTTTTCTTTCTTTTTTTTGTACATCGCTGTTTTGTACCGTCAGAAACGTGGGAAATAACAACGAAATTAAGCGTGCTACTAGGTTGGGAATTTGGTGCCACCCTTTCACTGTCGAAACGGTTAAATGTAGCCGTCTCTTCGGTCCCAACAGCTTATTCTCTCGCGCTTTCCGCCAGTGGAACTCCTTTCCTCTTACTTGCTTCAAATATTCAAATGTAATATCAATCGACATCTTCTGATGCCTTGATCCTGATCCCCGTCCTTCTCTGTATCCCTTCCTCGAACACCCCTCTTTATTCTTTACTTTTGCTATCACTCTGTAACCACTTGCGTGTTAGTGGTACTCCCGCTTTGCTTGGGGTGAAAGAAATCCTTAAAAGAAAAGTCCATTGAAATGAACACGCAATGATTAAAACAACTCGTCTAACAAAATTCAAACCAGAAAGTTATTTATATCTAAGTTCAAAGTATAGATTCCGTGTGCAATGATTCACGATTACCTGCTCATTTTTTTTCCAATTTTCTGTTCATTTTTCCATTTTCAATCGATTATTTCTGATAATTCTGTCAAAATTAGATATTTTCAGACTTCTTAAGAAGACGTCACATCCTCTTGTGTTTCTTTACCAAAGATTTCTTCACATTATTAATGTGATGATTCCTTTTTAGTTGCATCATATTATTCACTATTAAAACATGACTAAATTGCTTTGAAGAATTGTCTGGTAACACGTAACTTTCTAGGCTGCCACTTCGTCAATTTTAAAATCCATATTACATTTTACAGACACTGAAAGAAGGTTTAAGCTTACAACAAATGTCAGCCATATTAGAACCGCTTTTTTTCTCAGATCATTAGTTAAAATAACTTAGGATGGATGAAGCATGTAGGTTTTAGCAAGTACCATCCGAGGCGCTACAGAATTACAAACAAAGAATAAAATAACAGAAAGCACATCACTTGTGGACTTTCAACAGCAGAAACAACTAAAATGGATAGTACATATAACTCAAAGAGGAAATAAGCATATAATCATAATGTTGACATTCCACACTATTTCAAACAAAAGGCTATGAATGAAACTCCCATCAATACTAGAAAGAGCAATAATAGTAACTGGATATGAGAAACCTATTTCCCTGAAAAATTGTTTAAATAGAAAGATTTTATAAAGTTCAATTGACGGTAGCACTGGCTGCACGGTCAACGAATGCCAAATGTTGCCTTATAAGGTAACAGTTAATATTACCATTATAGAGTTTGATAAACAAGTTAGAGTATTTTCATCCATTTGGTTTGGTTTGGTTTGTTTTACGGCATATCAACCTCAATGGGTTATTGTTGTAATCTAGAAAGGATTACCGAATGAGGAATAACCAAAACGGAGGTTAGAAATGAAATAGTAATCATCAACAAAATACAATACTCGCCAGCGGCGTGAGATAGGTAAACTACTGCTAGTGGTGAACTACTTAGCATATTACCCCATTTACACTAGTGTCCAAAGTATTTATGAGGATTGGGGCATACCCATTAGTATTCATATGTACGGTATATAACAGTTATTTAATGCCAACAACATTTTTATTCCTGGTAATATTTTTTTTCAAAAATGTATTGCTGGTATTAAAACCCATTTTTATACTTTCATAATGTTTTGACCCCTTTTAGGGGTTTAACTATTTGCCCATAGCTGGGACCCTGACAGATACCACAACCCCGGGTCAGGGGAGACATGAGAACACCAGCAATTATGAAGTGGTTCCACGCTTCTCAAAACCTCCTGATGAGTGGCCTTGCTGTTGTATGTAATTTATCGTCTTACTCAGAACGCGGATGTAGTTTATCGTCATACCCAGGACGGAGAGTATTTTGAAAAATGTTACAATTTTAGTGAGACTCGACTTTCACTGGGATTTCTACATTTCTGAGCCTTTTTATAAACACAGTTAAGTTTTTAAAAAAATACTAATAAAATATGAATATTTGTGACCGACAATGAATTAAACAATTGTTATATATTCATGTCATTCGACGGAGTTGGCCTAAAACCAACATAGACAGAACGCATCGCTTGGAATCACTTTAAAAGACCCGAAAATATATACAGTTCTGATAAATTGATCAGATAAGTCCTAAAAACAAGATATTAAAAACAAAAGCATTATGCCGTTTAGTCGACCGTGTTATCTAAAAAAATAATCTATGTCCTTTCAAGCCTAAAAAAGTGCATTGAAGGAATGTAATACAAACACTAATAAGAGTAAGACACACTCAACCGTAACTCGAACAGTGACTAATAATTATAAAACCCAGCTGTTATACGCATTTCCGATACATATGGACATGCGTCTTGTAGCATATGAACAGGCGCAATTGCTGCCAATGTAAAAAATATCTATGAATAAATATAAAATATATTTTAATATATGACATTTACTTGTGAACTCATCTGAGCAAATATCATGAAAAAACATTTAATTTAAATATATATGACATACCATATATTGTTGTTTGTTTCTATTTCAATCTGTTCGGATCTCCTTCTTTCCTTTCTTTAATGCTTTCTCTCTCTCTCTCTCTCTCTCTCTCTCTCTCTCTCTCTCTCTGCATCTATCTATCTATCTATCTATCTATCTATCTGTTAATCTATCTATCTATCTATCTAACTAACTATCTATCTATCTATCTATCTATCTATCTCAGTTTGTTCTGCTCTCTTTCCTTACTATCTCTCTCTTTCGCTATATATCACAATCTGTCCCTACTTCCGTATGTCCTTCATTTCTCTCTCTTTTCTCTCTCTCTCTCTCTATCCCAGTCTATTTCTACATCTCCTTTCCATTCGTTTTCTCTCTCTTTCTTTCTCTATCTTAATCTGTTCCTTCCTCCTCCTTTCCTTCCTTTCTTTTTTCATTTTGCCCCTCTCTCTCTTTCTCTCTATCCGCCTAAGCCTGTTCCTACCTCCTCCTTTCCTTCCTTCTGCTCGCTCTTTCTCTTTCTCTCACTGTCTAACTCTATCTATCTCATTCTATTCATACCTCATCCTTTCCTTCATTTCTCTCGACATATTCCTCTCCCTATCGATCTCAGTCTGTTCCTATTTCCTTCTTTTATTCCTTTCTCTCTCTCTCTCTCTCTCTCTCTCTCACTCTATTCCTACCGCCTTATTTCCTTCTTTTGTCACTCTTTCTCTGTCCTTTTCTCTCTCTACCTAGCACAGCCTGTTCCGTTCTCTCTCTCTCTCTCTCTCTCTCTCTCTATATATATATATATATATATATATATATATATATATATATGTGGTGTATCAAAAATACTTTTACAAACATTGAGAATGGTTTCCCCACACCAAAACAAGGACAAAAGTCCATATAAACATATGTCCGCAAACCCTTCGTTTTTGAGTTAAGTTCAAAATTTACTTCAGACCTTGTTAAATGTACAATACAAGATACATTTCAAAATTACTTTTACGAACTTGGGGGACGGGTTCCTGATACGGAAAGAACGTAAAATGTCCATATAAACATATATCCAAAAGGCCATCGTTATACCTCAACACAGCAACTCATAAAAAAAGTTCAAAATATCCTCTGCTTCCTTGTACAAATGCATGCACCCGTCGGATCACTGACTGGCCAACCCTTTCAAATATCCCAACACGGTATCGAATGATTTTGCATCCCCCCCATGTTTCTGCATTATTAATGTATGCTGCATGAACCAATTGCTTTATTGGCACCACGGATAAATAAATCAAAAGGATTGAGGTCGGGGGAATGTCCTGCCAAAGAACCTGACCTCACTTATCCATCTTTCATGGTAGGTGTCAGCTAGTGCATCGCGAACATTATGACTAAAATGGATAGGAACCTCATCGTGCATGAACCACATGAGTCTTCGTATTATCGGGGCTGCATCTAGCAGTTCTGAAAGTGTCTTCGAAATGATGTCCTTGTAAATAGCCACTGTAAGCCATGCTGGGAGAACATATAGACGTTAATCTAGTACTGCGCTTAAATTCATAATGTCTAGGTACCATAGAGCAATGTTCAACAGGAAAATTCGCATGAAAGTATTTATAGAAAAGACACAGGGAAGCTAAGTTACGGCGATGTGCAAGAGGCTGAAGCCAAGATGTCAGGTCAGGAGCAGTAACATTGCGGATTCTACTTTGCAAAGAAGGATCTGCAAAGAAGAATCAAGTGTTGTCTTGCATGAATATTCTTTTTAAATAATTCGTGGAATGGACCCCCAACCTCTTCAAATATTAATTAAGAAGAAAACTTATGGACAATCATTTGTATATGAGAATGGTGAACATTATTCAAGCAAAGATCTATGGAGAGCAACAAAATCTGCTGAAAGCCGAAATACTCGAACAATTTGCAAAAATCAGTGGCTTATGTTTTACTTAAGTTAATTGTATAAGAAAATCTGATTGATCTCCATTCTGTTCGCCATACTTTGATGGGTCTAAACGATGTTAATTATTTATTGGGAAAAATCCCTATTTTTCTATTAAGGCCGAGAGAAGTTAGGAAAACTTAAGCTATTAGGTTTGTACAAATGTTCTCTCGGTCCTTTCTTTGTTAAAACCAGAATCTGAATAAGCAATAGAAAACCAGTTTTGAATATATATATATATATATATATATATATATATATATATATATATATATATATATATATATAAAAAACAATAAACGCTGGAATCTTTTTGCACCTACCTAATAGATATTTAGTATATTCAGGATGCTTCATAGATTTCTGTTGTGTTTTAAACCAAGATTTCAAAGGTTAAATTATTTTACTCCATTAAAAGATCAATGAGTGAAAAATGATGTTCAGAATATTTTAAATTATTTATAATAATATTTTTATTCAGCTAATAGAAGGCTTGGGAGGAATTAAAGCGATTCGCTGAATGATTTATGTAACATGAATTAAAGATGTGGTAGTAAGTAAAGATTATTAGGATAAGGAGGATAGATAAAGAGTGACACATGAGTTGAAGAGGTTAAGATTATATTGTTTAAGGAAACACCCACGCAGGAGTCTGTTCCTCAAATTGGCAGTTCTTGCGGGGAAGCTGTGTGTAACTTTTTTTCTTACATTAGGAACACGTGAGAAATAAAGATGATTAGATTGGCAGTTGGGGGGAAAAAAGCTATCTTTGATAAAGTTTTTCTTACAGTAAGAATTGAGGTGTTTCGGCTCCGTGGATGCAGCATGTCGTTCCCTAGCTGAAAATCTCTGAGCTGGTGTGACTAAAGAATAGAGTTCATCTGAAAAATTTCTAGGGAAATAAGGATAAAAATGTAAAATTGTTGGGAAGTGGTTTCAGAGTGGAGAATAATCTTTCTACTCCATTAATAAGATTGTGCGATAACAGGCACAGAAAAGACATTTCAAAATCGCCTAAAGAATGTAGCAACGGAGAGTGAGAAGAAAGGACTAAGCATAAAGGACAAGAAGACAAAATGCATGGTTATCAGTAAAAGGTTGAGCCCGAAATGCGATTTGCAGGTCGGGAACACTAGATTCAAGCAGACGCGAAAGTTTTAAATATCTGGGAAGCGTCTTGACAGAAACGGGAAGTGCAACACTGAGATCCGTAGACGTATTGGAATGGCCATGGACACATTCCAAAAGCTGGACAAATTACTGCGAGACAGGAGGATAACTTTGGTAACAAAGAAAAGAATACTGAGCTATTACGTGACATCTGTCTTTCTTTATGGGATCGGATGTTAGACGATTTCCTCAAACATGAAGAAGAGACTCGATGTAATTCTACAGAAGGATAACAAGGATATTATTATGGAGCGAGTGTGTGAGCAACGATGAGGTCTTAGAGAGGTTACAAACAAGGGGGAAGCTTATACTAAACATCAGGAAGAGGCAGCTGAAGTTTCTGGGTCATATAATGAGGAAGGAGGGCTTTGAGAATCTGATACTCACGGGTCGAATAGAGGGAAAGAGAGACAAGGGAAAACAATGCATGACATACCTGGCGGGCTTAAAAAAATGAATGACAGAACGTGATATGGGGGAGGAAGCAGAGGGAAGGAACTTGCAGTGAGCTGCAAAGGATAGAGGGAGTTGGGGAGCCATCATCGTCCTGATAGCATATGGCAGATAAAAAGAAAGAAAAAAGATATCCGTATTTTAAGTATGGAAAACCTGCTTTGAAAATTCGCATAGGAAATGCTGGTTTTTCAGTCGTATTTAATCTCCAATAACCAACTTTTTCAGCTGAATTTTTATGGGCGCATTCTTGCGAATAAGTCTTTTCTGGTGCGTATAAAATTTTGTTTGCGTCAGCTCGAATTTATGAATTTGCGTGTGGCTGTTCAGGTGTGAATCTTTTTGTCGATGAATGGGTATCTGACTTTATGCGTGGATGTGCGTCAATTTCTTTATGTGAGTGCGAATCTCATGAGCGCACGTGTTACACTGTTCTGGAACATACAAGCTTGACGAAGTTATTACTTGTTTTCTCTTGCGAATAATTGCGGCTGAATCGCCAGAATAAGCCGAGAGATGCGCCAATGGATGTGCCGGGGGCGTGATGGTCACTGACGCGGGAAATGGAAACGATAGACAGAGTTCAAATATCCAGTCGAAGAATTTGACTTCTTTTCGCACTAATTCACTGGGTAAAGACATGCGTTTCCCCTCCATCTATAGATAAAATATTGCAACAGATGGGGTTCCTTAACCTTCGTCCAGCAACCATTCTGGAAGCATAAATCTGAATTCAAAACTGTAAAAAAAAAGTGGGGGCAACAGGAAAACAATTCACCATCTTTCCCAAGAAAAGACACCGTAATGTACATATTGCTGATATTAAAGAAACGGAAGATATGGACAGATATATCTATTAAAATATTTTATCAGGAAAATAGAAAAGTGCTGTTACTATTATTGTTCTTTCCAGTGCTGAGTTCCCTTCCTAACCTTTCATTTGAAATAGTATGGAATGTTTACATCTTCGAATTGTATGAGCTATCCATTTTCGTTGTTGCTGCTGTTGATGGTCTTTAAATGATGTTCATTCTGTTACTTTGTAAAGTTCTTTGCTTGTGATTATGTAGCACCAGTCCACGATTCTCAAAGAAAGATGGTTTTCTTTAAAACCTACAGTTTTCATTCACTCGCAGCTATTAATGTGAGAAAGCGGTTTATACATCTGGCAGTTTAGTTGTTTCCAAACGAGTCTGGGGCCATACATGCCATCCACATGATTTTACGATAATACTTTGGTTTTCTAGCAACTTGCGGCGGTATTGTACGAAACAACCCTTAAGCAGCGTATTCTATGTTCAGTACCCTTGTCCCCTACGTAGAAGTTGAGTCTACAGCACTATGAAAGACATAGTGATACTCAAGGAGATCTGAAAGCTCCTCAATTAAACACACTTTCAAAAGTATGACCCAATGAGCAAACAAAAATTTAGCGTTGGATTATTTCTTCATTTTACCAAGATTTTCAGCGACCACCGTAAAAATATATAACAGCATACGAAACGATAGCGTTGTGATGTCTTCACTCTAATGAGACTATTGTGGACTCTTCCACTTACTATAAAGTTAGTTGGAAAAGTAAGCCTCGGGTGAACAGTGATATAGACTGAACGCCGGTCAACCGAAGCTGTGACTGTTCGCAGCTCCAGTCGAATTCTCTGCCTTGGGCAGAGAGGAACCCGGACGAGGCTGTGCAGAAGAGCAGAGTTTCGTCCGGGGAGGTAGACGGACCCGAACCCGTTTATGCGGGTTCTACGGGGATTTTTTGGCCGAACCTACGGTCTCGGATGACCCACGTTAAACTCGGCCTTATGCCACATATAGCCCTCGTCTGTTAAATGTTAACAGTGATATAGACAGTTCTACCGAGGCTGTAACTGTTCGCAGCTCCTGTCGAACACTTTGCCTTTGGCAGAGAGGAACCAGGGCGGAGAGCAACCCGGACGAGGCTATGCCGAAGGGCAGAGTTTCGTCCGCTGAGGTAGACAAACCCGAAGCCGTTTATGCGGGTTCTACGGAGATTTTTTGGCCGAGCCTATAGGTTTGGATGACCCACGTTAAACTCGGCCTCGTGCTACATATATCCCACGTGGCGTGGTCGGGGGGCGAACTGTTAAATATTAACAGTGATATAGACTGAAGGCTGGTCAACCGACACACACTCCCAAGTGCTGTAACACACTTCTGTTGTATTTACTGTTGAATACACGATTTATCTGCAATCTCTTGTTTTGTTATTTCTTAACCAATTACTTAGTCACAACAGACAGAAAAGTTGCATGCCAGGAAAATTCTTTTTACTTGGTTTTTAGCAGGTTATACCTTGCCCGTTTTTCTTCTTTTAAGTGCCGGGTCCCTTCAGCATGTGGGCGATCATGGCTTACAACAATTCCTTATCTATTGTTGTGCTTATCCTATTTAATATTTTCTTTACTTGTTATGTTATCCATTTACGCAATTTACGTCGAAGTTACTGAGGGAAGAAATAAGTAGCCTAACTATTACTTGGATGAAAATGATAACATTCGTCTCTCTCACTCTCTCACTCTCCCTCTACACACACACACATACACACACACACACACGCACGCATATATACATATATATATATATATATATATATATATGTGTGTGTGTGTGTGTGTGTGTGTGTGTGTGTGTATGTATAATATTTATTCCAAATTACAACATTATATGTTATAATATCACTACAAAATTACATTATATGTTATAATATCACTACAAAAGTAGCAATTTTGTTTCAACATTTCTGGTACCTTGTCAAGTGACGGTGTTGATGGCAAAATAAAGAGTTTTTTTTTCAAACTCTTTTTTTTTTTGCCATCAACACCATCACTCTTGTTTTATGCATTATGTTTTCTCGGACATTCAGGCCGGTAAATGTTATTTAATACTGTTTATTATAAAACAGAGCATTTACTTAAATATTTGTATCTATAAAAAGAAAGTTGAACATAAAAATGTCTTAAAATAATTGTCGGACTTTGTCCATTTCATAATGTGTGACGTCATTTGTTTACATTTGGATACGCTTTGAGCAGATATGAATGTACGTGAGAGATTCATGGAAGATTGAAGTTTAAAAGCAGTAAATTCGACGTTGCTTCTATCGATCCTCTATGGCGAAATCGGTAAAAGGCACGTCAGGCTATATGACGGTTCCATATGGGATACAGGTTCGAATCCTGTCGGAAGATGAATATTTTCTATGAAAATTTCTCGGACATTCAGCCGGTAAATGTTATTTAATACCGTTTATTATAAACACAGCATTTACTTAAATATTTGTATCTATAAAAAGAATGTTAAACATAAAAATGTCTTAAAATAATTGTCGGATTTTGTCCATTTCATAATGTGTGACGTAATATATATATATATATATATATATAATCTTGGTTATTTACAGCTTCCTCTCGTTAGTCTTTTATGATTCCACCTTGTCTTTGAGGCATTTGTTCTTTCATCCATTTGCATTAACTTCTCAACTCTGTTTCTCGCTGACATATACGTCACCTGCGTTACATGTGGCCTGTAATTTAAATTCTTCAAGCCTTATTGCTTCATTATGCCACGCCTGAGTTTCACCTCTCTGTTTCTGATTGCTTTCTTTATAATTCCATTTCAACACAAATCTTCCTCGTTCCGCACATGGTATTTTCAACAATCGTTGACAAAAACAAAACATCATTGTCGCCTTAAGTCATTTCTTACCATCCCAAACGACCACCCGCTGTCTACATGTGCATATAATTAGATAGGAACAGACTAAGATATGTAAATACATTCATTGATATGAGAAGACTTTTGCAGACGTATTGTCTTGCTTGCGATCTCTAAGTCGCAAGGATACGTGGGTACGCCGTGATGGTCGAAGCTTCAGTCAATGACTTCTAACACTGTAGATAAATTCGGAAGACAATTAAAATCGTTGCTATTCTCGATAAAACCTGCAATGTGTTGCTGTGCGTATTTGACAAGCCTAAAATAGATTACATTTGTGTAGCGGGGTCGTTAGCGCGGAGCTCCACTGAGAACCGTTGGCTAAAAATAACTTCTGCCAATAATGTTTCATTCTGTCACTATCTGGCCTTCTATCTATATTAATTCATCGTATGTTCATATTAAGCTTAGAATAGTCTTGGATATAGTAATAGTCTTGAAAGACTGAGTAAACTAGATAAACTACTGTATTGGTCCGAACGAACGGACACATCCATATCTATCTATCTTTCTATCTATCTCTATATAGCTATTTATGTATATCAGTCTTTTCATATCTATATATCTATCTCATTTTTTTTATATCTATCTCAAACTGGCAATATATGTCTATCAATTCACCTACCTATTTATCTAGCTAGCTATTACAGTATGGTAATATCTGTCTATCTATTCATCTGTATGTCTTTTCATATCTATCACAAACTGACAATATCTATCTATCTATCTATCTATCTATCTATCTATCTATCTGTCTCTGGTAATATCTATTTATATATCTCAGATTTATATATCATAGCTAAATATTTTTGAATTTATCGAAATATATCAGTCTTTCATATGTATCTATCTCTGTTTTTTCATATGATTATTCATATTTATAAAATGGTAATAACTATCTATATCTATCTATCTATCTATCTATCTATCTATCTATCTATCTATCTATCTATCTGCATGTCTGTCTGTTTGAAATTGGTAATATCCATATATCTATTAACTCCTAACCCGTGTGCAAAGGTGTGTGGCAGGATCGGCGCTAGGGTTCCCTCCCCCCGAAATTTTGATACAGAGCACCCCTCTCTACTACATGCCGATTTCAATTTTCCCGACCTGGGGGGCACAAACCTTCGGAGGAAAGTGGGGGCAAGATCAGTGCTTTTTAAATTACCAAAAACCAGGGAAAATCCAATTTAAATGAAAATTTTAGTACATACTCATTAATTGTTTACTTTTATAATGAATAGTGTTTTTTTTTAGTTTTTTAAAATTTGGGAAAATGTTATTCTTTTTGTAATAACCAGCAATATTTTTATGATTAAATATTACTCGAAAAAAATGTTTAAATCGCAAATTTTTGCATTTCGATAAAGGTTAATCGCTGACGCATCTACGGTCAAAAAAAAAATTTACAAAAATTCTAACGCAATGCAAAAGGGTTTTTCTTGAAATTTTGCTTTAAAACATTATTTCAGTTTTCGGGAAACTTTTTCAGGTGTTAAAATCTTTAAACATTTTTATTTTTAAGCGTTTTTTTTCTCGGTTTTAACTTTCCAGAAATATAAAAAAAAATAGGGACTAGAAATATTATTTTAATTACTAGCCTTATTGTTCAGAAAGGCAAAAAAGCGCTACTAAAATTAGCACTTCTGACCACCCTCCCCAGTAGGCATGGGACCCCCACGCGATTGAGAGGTTCGAGGTAGAAAACACCGGCCCTGTCGATTTTTATAGTTAATAATTGACAATAAACTTACGTAGAAAAAAAGTAAAAAGTGCAAAAAAAAAAAAAAAAAAAAAACGCTGTTGAAATGAGCTCTTTCGGGCTCCAACCTCATCAGGGGTTTCTGTGTAGTACGCACTACATCCGCCAAGATGTATATTATTAGTTGATGACTGACAATGCAACCTCAGTTTAAAAATAATTTAAAAAATGGCGGATGGCCATAAAACAGGGCTGAAAAAAATTTGCAGAGGCCACAACGGGACCCGAAAAAACGTCCCGTCCATGATTGGGGGTAAGAGGCGCCAACCCTGGGGTCTGGTATGGCATAGCTAAATTTTATGATCGTTTATTGTAAACAGTTTGGCAATAGTAGAATTGCAAAGCACAAGTCAAGGCAGCTTAAACATGACTTGATTGTTAATAGTAAAAAGAAATGTTTCATTTCACTCTGACATAAGAGAAAGAAATGCACGCAAACATTCGACAAATGAATTATCTGCTTTATACATGTAAACTTCATAATATTCGATTGTAGATGACATAAGAGATTCACTCCTGTCAATTGATAAATAACAACGAAAAATTACAAACTATTGCAGTTACTGTTCGTATTTATTAAGCGAATTTTACGACAAACATTAATTTGTAAAAAGAGTTCATCTAACAAGAGTAACATTAGAATATTAAGGTTAATTTGGTTTTAACCTGTTCACTGCCAATGACTAGATAATACATTATCTTTCGAGCGTATTTCATTCTCTCGCAGAATAGCAAACAAAGCAAATCAACATAGTTTCATTTGGTGATAAGACATTGAATGTTTGTAAAATTTAATCTGTGTTTTAAGATATTTTATCCGGGCTCCTAATATTTAAATATTTTAACGCATTTGTATGTATATTTTTTTAATATCTTGTTGCATATCTTGTTGATTTATTTGAAACTAAAATTTAAAATGGCAGTGAAGACTTTCAATTTCCTTTTCTTACGACAATGACCCAAAACAGGAATTATAGTGTTGAAAATATACCTGGCATTGAAGAGGTTAAACATAGCTTGGCTTTTACAAATGTATTTTTAGTTTATTTAATCTTTTTTTTTATAACGACAAACATAATAAGGTTATTCTATTCTAGTTTCATAAATTATTTGACAGACATTCATCTACAATAAAACCTTAAAACAAAAGCACTTAGAAAAGAGAATAAAGGAAAGGAACGTGATAGTAACTAATTATAATTAAATATAATTTATGTTGCGGCTTCTTATAAGACTTTCTTTTAGTATATATATTTAGTACTATTATGCTAAACTTACAAGTTACTGACGAGCGACAGAAAGAAGAGGTATCAGAGAATTATTTAATACGAGTTATCTTCCTTAACCATAAAGCAGAATCAGAACACTCTCCTCTGTTGATCGAAAAAAAGGGCTTGGTTAAAGATTTCGAAAAGGTTACCTGAAGAAGGCCGAAGGTTATATCCACCGAAACGTTAAGAAAATAACAACCAAGATGAGCCTACAAACCCAAACAGAAAGGCATATAATCGTTATTTTCGATAAATCGACAGTTTTTTTTTTTCAGGAATATAAGGAAATTGAACATAGAATAGGCAGCGTTAGTGGTATTTTTCCAACAGCGCAAATTGCTATAAAAACAAAACACAAACTTCAAGCGTTGAGTTTTGTACTTAATTACGATTCCTAAGATTGAGAATTTTCTGTGGTTGTTATGCATGGCGTCAAATCCATTCAGGAATTGTTTTAAATGTCAGCTGTATACAACCGCTTTCTCAGATTATTGGTCAAAATGGCTGAAAGTGAGTGATAGATATAGGTCTTAACGAGGACCATCTTTCTTTGAACCTTGAGGACTGGTGCTACAGAATTACAGACAAATAACTCTACCAAATAACAGAAAGCACATCCCTTGAGGATTTTCAACAGCCGCAACAACTAAAATGGATAAGTAATTATTGTGGTGTCTTCCCTCTAATGAGGCTATTGTGGACTCTTCCACTTACTATAAAGTTAGTAGGAAAATAAGCCTCGGGGGAACGGTGATACCGACTGCTCATTACGGTCAAACTCTCTGCTTCGACAGAGAGGAACCCGGACGAGGCTTTACCGAAGGGGAAAGTTTCGTCCGGGTAGGTAGACAGGTACTGAACCCGTTTATACGGCTTCGAAGGGGATATTTTTGGCCGAGCCTAAGGGCTCGGAGAACTCACGATAAACTCGGCCTTGTGACACATACGACCCACGTTGGGGGGTGGCCTTAAATATAACAGTGATATAGACTGAAGGCTGGTCAACCGACACACACTCCCAAGTCGTGTAACACTCTTCTGTTGTATTTACTGTTCAATACACTATTTACCTGCAACCTCTTGTTTTGTTATTTCTTAACCATCACTTGGTCACAACAGTCATCTATCTCGAAGAGAAAATAATGGCATAATGGATGTTGACGTTCCACAATATTTAGAACAAAAGGTTAAGAAGGAAACCTCACATCAATACTGGAAAGAGTTATAGCAGCTAATGAAATTGAGAAAAATATTTTCTTGAAAAACTTTTTAATAGAAAGGTTTTACAAATTTCAACCTACATTAGCACTGGCTGTTCGGCCAATGAATACCGAATGTTTTCAAAAGTTTAATCTCATTATTACCATTACCCTTTAAGCTTAAGGTCATATCACGTTGATATACGTTGAAAGTTAAGCAACGTCGAGCGCAGTCAGTACCTAGATGGGTACCTACTTGGGAATAACAGGTGCTGTAAGTTTTGATGTGAGGGTGGTGTAATGTCTAATGGCTCAGAATTGTTAACCGGGAAGCCGAGATCTAATTCCAGTTGTTCTCGTTATAGTTACTTACGCGCAAATACCCTTGGGAAAACTATGAATCCACCTCTTCTCCTCCAGATATGGGTTAATTAGTAAAAATTGTGTCATTATTATTTTATAAAATTGTGTCATTATTATTTTATAAAATTGTGTACAAAATATTTATATTTCGACATTAAATAACCGGCATATGGACGATATAGCGATAATTAGAAATAATCAAACAACCCTTTAAGATAACTTGCTGCAGGAATACGAGATTTATTTATTTTTGCATATTTTTTTAAAGAAGAAAAATGTAAGAAAAACGAAAATGGAAAAGTATGGAGTTTAGGTTTAAAATCTCTTAAAAATGTATTTTATACATAAGGCCCAAGTGATTCCACAAAAAGACGATAATCTTGATTGCTCAGTAGTTCTAGAATGACATGGTGAAATTAAGCGAAGAGATAAAATAAACGTCAACAGTGAAAATATGTTAAGTTATTGTTATATGCCGTTCCTATGAACACTAATGGGTATGTACTAATCCTTATAAATACGTTGACACTATTGTAAGTGGGAGTAATATGGTGTCTAAATAGTTCACCACTAGCAGTGGTTTACCTACTTCACGCCGCTGGCGAGTATTGTATTTTGTTGATGTTATAAAGATTACCATTCCATTTCCAACCTCTGTTTTGGTTATTCCTCATTCAGTAACCTTTTCTGGGCTATAGCAGTTATATTATCGTAATAGTGAAACTATGAAATAATGATAGTGAAAGTCTTCCACCTATGTGATTTTTCTTATTCGTCTGTATTGTTACGTGAAGCATTAATAAATGTAAAGTCAGAAGACGGATAAAAATGATGAAAAATGCCGAGCATTTTCTCAGATTATAACAATCGCCAAAATCATTTTAAGTAAAAATGACTGTGTTTATATATCACCAAGAGATCATTATTGTATCATTTGTATTATATTTAACATATATATAATCTCTATCTATAAAAGGCAGGATGTGTGTGTGTGTGTGTGTGTGTGTGTGTGTGTGTGTGTGTGTGTGTGTGTGTGTGTAACGAATGCACGGCCGCAATCTTCGACGGATTTGCACCAAAATTTACATGCACATGCTCCAAGTTAGTGGGAAGGTCAAGACCGACGTTGCATTTCCCAACTCCCATCGATAGTGGAAAAATTGAATTTTTTCATGCTTCTACGGCAGTTTTCATGTAGTTTGCGGCCATTTTCTACTGGCCAGAGTGAGAGCAAATAGCTGGCTGCCACAAATAGGCAGGAAGATTCTATTGGCCAGCGTCAGAGACAACATCTGACTGACACGAATGATAACTAACATGCTAGCATGCAAAAAAAATCGATAGCTGCATTCGTCACAATTGGGAAAAATTTAAATCTGCATGGCACTTTACTCGAATTGGCTCTTTCGCTTGCTTAAACTCAACATTGATTCTGATTCCGCAGAACTGGGTTGGGTGTGAAAAAGTATTTGTTATTAACATTCTTTTTTCATTCGGTTTTTCCAGTTACGAGTCCTTTTTTAATGCTGATCGTTTTGTGTTCATTTTGTTTAGTTCTTTTTTTCGTAACAGATTTAATGTTTAGTATAGAGCTTAGAAAAAATTCGCAGTGTGAGAAAGGCAAGAAATAAGGCATGTAGCAACATCAGCACGGAAAAGGACACTCCTTTAAAGGCAAGGAAGGTCAAAAATATTTTAAGTCAAGTGATAGCAATTGCTGTATGAGTCGTACGACTTTTGAATCAAGCACGGGCAACGTCGGGCCATGCTGCTAGTACATATATATATATTATGATAGGATAATGAACAAATAGGAAACGTTTATAAATTTAAACATATAAAACGATTCGCTTTTATTAACCCTTTGAACCCTGTGTTCCTGAACAATTTTAACCCTTCTGCCTGAACTCCTGAGTCAAAATACGCAAATAATTGGTATGTAATGTTTCACGATAGGTATGAAAATAGTTACAAGTGTTTACCCATCGTTCAACCAACTGGACATTAAGTTATTTTTCTCTACCACTATTCGACCGGTGGCTGGGGATTACGTCATTTTTCTCTACCACTGATAGAAGGTTTAAAATTGTTCCTTCTGTTTGTCTCAAGGTCCTTGATAAAATCCAAAGACGGATATGCAATGTAATTGGCCCTGATCTGGCATCTCGTCTGCAGTCGCTCTCTCACAGACATGCCGTTGCCTTCCTCTGTCTTTTTTACAAATCCTTTCACGGTAACTGCTCCGATTTCGCTGCTTTCGCTGGTTCCCAGACTTCATGAATTTAAGCGTTCTACAAGGCTGGCATCCTGCTCTCACCCTTTCACTGTCGAAACTGTTAAATGTAGCCGTCTCTTCTCCTCCAATAGCTTCATGTCTCACACCTCTCGCCTGTGGAACCCCCTCCCCTCTTCCTGTTTCCCTGATAGCTATAATCTCCAACTATTCAAATGTAATGTCAATCGACATCTCCAGATGCCTTGGTCTCTCCCCTATCCTTCTCTTCATCCTTTTCTCTATCATTCCTCTTTGCTCTCGCTCCAACTCTCTGTAACCCCTTGCGTGATAGTGGCTTCCCGCCTTGCTTAGGGTGATATGCTTATAAAAAAAATCTGCTATCAACACAGTGTTATCTGCATATCTTATATATCGTAAAATTATAGCCGCTATTAATGAATCCTGGTAATACTTCTAATTCTTTATGATTAGATTACTGTAAAGATTGAATAAGTTCGGTAAAAAGACATTCTTGTCTTACGCCTCTTTCTATTTTTGTATATTTGCTGAATTCATTTTTTATCTGTATGCAGGTGCATTGCTGACAGTATAAATGAATTATTCTAATACCTTTCTCCGGTAAATGAAACTTAACTAATAGTTCAAGCATTTCATTGTGACAAACTTTATCAATTGTTTTTGCATAATCTATAAAACATATCGTATTACTCTGCATTTGTATTTCTCTGATATCATTCTGAATATAAATATCGCTTTCATTGTTCCAGTGTCTTTAACGAAACTGTTCTTTCTTATTTCCGCTTTAATTCTTTTACGCGCTTTATTCATCAGAATTCGGATGATAAGTTTCTTTACGTGGCTCATTAAGGTAATTGGCCGGTGGGGCTCGTATCTGGTTTCTTAGACAGCACTACAAAAATAGACGACCGAAAAGTTATTAAAAAATTATTATATAATTAATTCTTGAAATAAATTGAATTTCTGAAATAATTTCTAGAAATTTCTGAAATAATTTCTAAAATATTTTCAAGAAATTTCTAGCCGTGATCTTCCGACAGAATTGTAATCAATTCAGTCTTTTAATCTCTACAATAAAAAACTGAATGTTTCATTTATCACCTCTGTCAGCATATGGTGCGTATTTAACCAGATTTTAAATATTATTTTTTTAAAATT